CATTCTACTTATCTTCCATTTTTATCTTTAAAAAAAACACAGTAAAGTTGCGGAATTTCCCAATAGAATTGGCCAAAAACTAATAGAAAGTTCAATAGAAATCACGCAAGAGAATAATTCACAGAAAAACCTAATTCTATAGAAAATTCTGTTAGTTTTGGCCAATTGGACTGAAGAATTTTCATTTTAGTGCGCGTGTTTCTATAGAACATGTCGGAGCTAAAAAAATTTATATAAAAATTCTGCAGAATTCCATTTTTCTATACAACTTTCTCTATAGGAATTCCTCGACATGAATTTTCCTTTTTTTCATTCTACTTTTCCCCTATTCTCATTAAAAAAAAGTAAACTTGCGGAATTTTCAATAGGATCCACCAAAAACCAATAGAAAGTTCAACAGAAATCGCGCAAGAAAATAATTCACGGAAAAACCTAATTCTATAGAAAACTCTATAGAGAATTCCTCGACATGAATTTTCAAAATTTTTTCGATTATACTTTTCCTTTATTTTCATTTTTTTTAATGTCTCAAAATTCCGGAATTTTTCAATAGAATCGGCCGAAAACTAATAGAAAGTTCAATAGAAATCCGTCAGAACTCCAATCCTCTCCCAAATTCCCTCCGTTTTCACCGAAATTCTTTCGTACATGTAACTTCGCATTGTTTCCGAGCCCATACTGCTCCTGTCAGGAATGAACCTACTCTAGAACCATTTGGCTGACATTTTTCCAGCGTCGCACCCATGTCACGACTCGTAGTTAATAGAGACTCGCCAGGGGTCACTGAACTCCCTCCGAGGGAGAGACACGAGGACAAAGGACGGCCTTTCGTCTGTTTTGAGACATCCTCGGATTACCTTCTAACCACTCTCACTTTATGTTTACATAATTCGTCACTCTATTTTTCCATTCATTCACACTAATGTCAGAGCTTATTAATTCCCGCCACTTCGGGGCACATTAAATCCGGCATTTTCATCTCCCCCCGGCGCTTTCGTAGAGGTCGGATGCCTAGGCCAACGAGAATATTCAATTCTTTCTCTCAAACATCTCTTATTTCTTTATTTTTCGTAACTGTCCAACGCCCAACTTTCGCTCGAAACTCTCGTAATACAAGAACGCATGGGGCATTTCACTCTTTCCCTCGATCACAGGGAGAACATACATTATGATATTGGTTTTCAAACCTACGCACTACTTTTTAAAATGTGAAAATTTGTGACTCCACTGTTCTTCGTACAGAGCTGGCTCTGGGATATTGGAAAGTAGTGACGGACGAAAATTTAATCGTCCATTATGAAAATATTAGAAATTGAATTACGGAAGCCGGAACTTTGCATAATGATGATAGACGGATTTATTTTTACGTTCGGGGAACCCATAATTTGCTCGTTAATGGGGGAATTTTATTTTCACGGAGGCACTGTTGTTTAAAGTGTTTCAGCTGGTGTGCGAAAAATTTTTCTGCGTGCACTTTTACTTCATCACACTGAGAGAAAAATCTGAAGTTCGGTTTACAATGAGAAAATAGTTGAGGCAGTTTTGGTGAACGATACAACTTCTTTTTGTATGCAACACACAACATTATATTAACTAAACTAGCGTAATTTTTGCAAAGCAAAATGCAGTTAAACTGACCAAAGTTCAAAAGTAATCACGGCAAATCTAGCGTCAGTAGAACTATAAAATAGTTGCAATGACTACATTCCATTGTAGTAATTACTTCTCCGGCCATAGTTACCGTAACCCATGAAAAATTGTTGAGGACTTTTTGGCTATAATTCGATGGTGATGGAATATAGTCAGAAAAATCATATTTTTCACTCAGTGCACTTTACGTAGAACAAAAAGTTTTTTTAGAGTTAAAAATCCCGGAATTTTTGGCGAGAAAAAAATATCGAAATGCGGTAGATTAAGAAAAATTATTTTCGTTTAACAAATTGTCTTTTTAATTCGATTTATCGTTATTCATCGCTTGAAATGAATTAAAATAAACTGAGTTGCAATGAAAATTAAATTTGTTTTCACAACTGAACTATTGGAATACGCGCTGTATTCCAATACTTGATATTCAGTGATCATTACACATAAATTCCTGAAAATTGCACAAGCAAAGTGTTAAAGATACTTCTGGTCTTACTGCTTTCATGATGATTTTTATTCAAATTGTGGGGAGTGTATATACCACGCCTTGAACTTTCCAGATGCGTTCAATGGCTTTCTCAACCGTCGATGCACCGTTGCATCCAATTCCATCAATTAGAGGTGTGTAAAAATTGAATCTTCGTTTTGTGATGAAATGATCGGTTAAAATTGGGGCAAATGTAATCGAAGAGAAAAGTTCGTAATAATTTAACATGAGTTTAATCACTGCAATTGATTTTGTGAAATTAAAAATTTTAAACAAACAAAAAGGTAGACAAATAAATTATGTGAATAATCTGTTTGAATTTATTTTTTTATAGAAAAAAGTCAAGAGTTGTTGAATTTTCAACAGCATAACTTGAAATTCAATTGGGATTTTTGCTGTAGAGGAAGTTCATTCTTTTCTACTTTATTCTTTTCCTAGGAATTTGTAATAAGAAACAAAAAATTAGTGGAAAAAATTCAACCACAGCAATTGAATTTGCAAAATAAAAAATTAACAACAAATGAAACGATAAATAGATGAATAAATCATGTGAATATATTCAAATGAATATTTTTTTAATAAAAAAAGGTCAAGAATTGTTGAATTTTTAATAGTATAACTCATTCTAATAGGATTTTTTCTAAGAATTGTATTAATTTATAGAAAAGTTTACTTATTGAATTTTATAATGAAAAAAAAAATTAGTGGAAAAACTAGGAAAATTTATGCCCTAGAATTTTTACGAAATTGTTATAATTTATTTAAATTTTCTTCAATTTTTTCTTTTTAATTTTTCCACAAGTCCAAAATAAATTGAAATTAATAAAAATAATTCCTTCTCTCTCATAAGATACTTCAATTAATTATTAAACGTAAAATCAATATCAATTAGATCCTCTAATTGCACTTGTACTATCGGGTTTTTACGGAAAAAAAGAAAAAATAGAATTCGTAATATTTTTATTCAAAAAATTGTCATCGATTATAAAAGTCGTTTCGAGCTAGGATGAAAGGGAAAGTGACACAGAAACGAATTCAAAATAGAGAATGTGTGGTTCCAGTCAATAGTGAAGAGACAATTCCTGTTCCAAGATGTAATCGTGATGATTTCTAAAAATTTCATTATCCTTTTTCGTCAGACACGTGGCCCATTTGTCTTGCTCTACTTGCTGCGGGGCAGGGCCTTTTCCACTTGACCAAAATGGCAACTCCGCTCGGTGCTGTTCCCTCGTGGAACTGCCACGAAATATCCTGGCGATCTCTTGTTTACCAACTGCAGAAGATTGACTCGCGGATGAGGGTGAGGTTTAAATTATTAATCGTAGACTTAATACTAGATTCACTAAGCTACATGTCTAGGGTGTGGGAGGGTGGTGGCAAGCAGATGATCCGAATCTAGATGAACTTTAGCTGAAAAATAGGAAACGAAAAAATAAAATTATGTTCAGGTGTATTATATATCCTTTTACTGAGAAATTCTATTGGAATTTTAAGGAAATTATGTTAGGAATTCTATTTATTTTTTGGGGATAAATTTTCGAAATTTTTTCGCTGTGTATTTATTTTTTCTCACCATAAAATCCAAGAAAAAGCGTGGAAAATTTTTATTACATATGTAATTGAAACCTGAACATTTATGAGCATGAATTCTCATCAAAAAACCAAAGAGAGCTATAGAAAAATTAGAAATATATATAATCTATAGATTTTTTCCTATGAAAAAAATTTCTGTTCAAAAACGCAGGGCAAAATTGAATAATTTTTAATCAAATTGATGCAAAAAAGGGAATTCTTAATAGAATTTCAAGGGAACTCCTATAGAGTTCCAATAGGAATTCAATAGAATTTCATGTAGGAGGCGCTCAGTTTTTAGCTTAAGCTGTAGAAAATTGAAATCGCCTTCTATAGGATTTTTTAGCATCTATAGACTTTTTTCGATAAAAAAAATTTTGCACTGAAAAACGCACGGCAAAATTGAATGATTTTCAATCAAATTGGTGCAAAAAAAGGAATTTTTAATGGAACTCCAATAGAGTTCCTATAGACTTCCAATAGAAATTCAATAGAATTTCATGTAGGAGGCGCTCAGTTTTTTCATCAAATTTTCTGATGCGTAATTGAATTTCGAAAATCCACATCCAATAAATCTTATATAACAAATTGCAACAGACTAAGCTGTAGAAAATTGAAATCGCCTTCTATAGGATTTTTTAGCATCTATAGACTTTTTTCGATAAAAAAAATTTTCGCTGAAAAACACACGGCAAAATTGAATGATTTTCAATCAAATCGATGCAAAAAAAGGAATTTTTAGTAGAATTTTAATGGAACTTCAATAGAGTTCCTATAGACTTCCAATAGAAATTCAATAGAATTTCATATAGGAGGCGCTCAGTTTTTTCATCAAATTTTCTGATGCGTAATTGAATTTCGAAAATCCACATCCAATAAATCTTATATAACAAATTGCAACAGACTAAGCTATAGAAAATTGAAATCGTCTTCTATAGGATTTTTTAACATCTATAGAGTTTTTTTGATAAAAAATTTTTTCTGAAAAACGCACGGCAAAATTGAATGATTTCCAATCAAATCGATGCAAAAAAGGGAATTCTTAATAGAATTTTAAGGGAACTCCTATAGAGTTCCAATAGAAGCCTTATACAATTCCAATACAAAATCAATAGAATTTACTATAGAAAGCGCTAGATTTTTCAATCAAATTTCTTCATGCACAATTGAATTTTAAAACTGAATACCCAAGAATTCTTACACAAAAAATCCCACCAGAATCAGCTATAAAAGTTCTATAACGAGGACTTCAATAGAACTCTGATAGAATTCCACTCAAAATCCTCGAAAAATATAGTTACCATTTAGCTACGGTGAAATGCCTGCAAGAGTCAGACGGTCTGTCATAACTGAGACCCTCGTCGCACTGGATCAGCTGAGGTCGGCTGTTCTTGCAGACAACAACACTAGTGCAAGCTTCATCAAGCCGATGAACTTTTCCAGTCTCGCACGGGAGTTTCATCAACTCCGCGGGAATGGTGTGCATGGTGCCCCATGGATTGATCACAGTGGGTGCCTCAGTGGAGCCCTCGAGGGCACTGGGGTCATTGTAGAGAGTCTGTTGATTCTCGAGTTCAATTTGACTCGCAGTGGGACGTTGATGCCAGGGGTCAGGATGGGTGCGGAAGCCCCATTGGGGCTGGGGGTAGGGACCTGGTGGGAAGGTGACGGCGGGGGGTTGGGGGCGGGGCTGCTCTGTGGGTTGGGGGGATCCGGGGGAGCCTTGGTTGGGACCCCCTGGGGGAGATCCACCGGGGGTTGCACCTCCAGGGGAGGACCCACCTGAACTGGAATCTCCAGGCGAGCCTCCAGTGGGGAGTTCCGGCTCGGGGGTGGATGTCTGAGGGGGTCTGGGGGTAGCTGCCCCTTGGCAATCGACGTTGTAGGGGTAATCGCAAACTCCGAAGGCCTGAAAACATGATAATTTCGGGTTTCACGTGCTGAAAGATCCTATAGCTATATATGCTATAGGAGGAATTCTATAGAAACTCCGGGATTTTACTGTTAATTAGTATTGGTTTACGGATTTCCAAGTATCCCCGCACGTTACGGTGATGGGATATGCTATAGGATTTCTATTGAACTGCTATTGAAGATTCTATTAGTTTTTGGCCGATTTTATTGAAGAAGATAGCTGATTCATCGTGCCTGATAGAAAGTGTCTAATAGAAATTATTTGATGGATGAAATCAATAGAATTTCATGTTTCTATAGAACCTTTTCTATTCAGATTTTGTATAGAATTTCCTCGACATAAATTTTTGAAGATTTTGCACTCAATTTTTCTTCTTTTTATTCAAAACACGGAATAAAAAACTTGGGAATTTTAGGGCGAAGAATTCCTGTAGAAAATTCTATAGAAAATTAGAATTCTATAGATTTTTTTCCATAGGATGTATTTCATTGGTCATTTTGACCAAGAACTAATAGAAAATTCACTTGAAATCCAATAGAATTTTACGGCCAATTCTATAGAATTTTTCATTTTTCTATAGAATTTTTTCTATGGGACCATTTTTTATAAAAATTCCTCGCACATAAATTTTCGAAGTTTTTTCTCTCAATTTTTTTTCCTTTCTCGATAAATGTGGTATTCGAAACTCCTAAAACCTCGATAGAATTTTTATAGAGTTTCAATAGACATTCAATAGAATTCCTATAGCAGGCGCTAATTTCCTTTTCATCAAATGCCATCACAGGTAATTGACTTCTGCAAATGTCCAAGAAATCCCCTCAGAATAAATTCCAGAAAAATCGCCATCTATAGACTTTACTTGTAAATACTGTCTATAGCCACTCGAATTCCCCCAAAAATCTATAGAAACCCATTTCCCCCGAAAAATCTCCCAAGATCTTCTAAGGCATATCTCCGCATTTTGTTCACGCGTGATATCCCTGCCTCCCCACGCATTCCTCCAATATTTTTCCTCATCCCACCACCGATTCAACGGGTTTTGGATCAACTCCGATAAAATGTGGTATTCGAAACATGTTAAAACGAGAAGGCTCCACCACCAACGCACCAGAATTTCAATGATCCGTCACCACAAACCCGTGTACATTATTCTCCAAGATGAATTTTGGAACTCACGTCATTGTAGACCAGTCCTTGAGGACAGTTGAACTTGATTGGACTGCCAGAGAGACACACGTAGAATTCTGAACAGTTTGTTGGGCTTCTGTAACGGCCGTTTGGATCTGGACATCTGCGGGAACCGGGCGCCAGTGGTGGTTCTGCGAAAACGTGGCATATGTTATATCTCCCCCGTGATTAATCGCAAGTACAATCAGTTTAAGCCACAGTAGACCATATAAATCAAGTGAAATGATTTTTTACCGGCGCCTTATAAAGGCAATTTTTCTTTTTCCATCTGCCGAGAATCACTTTTTTTCATCGACAATATTTTTATTTATTTTTCGCATTTGATTCTGCAGCTCGCTCAAGCCCGCATGCATAATGAATCACGGACTAATCGCGAGGATCGATCTTGTCTTGGTTCTTTTTAATAAGCAGTCAAACATGTTGCGAATCTGAGGCTCAATAAAAAGACCGGTTAATATGGGATTATCAGAGCAATTTATCCAATAAATCAATTATGATTTTTCCCCTCGCCCGAGGTGCGTAGGAGCGCGTCAATGATCCTCCATGAAGATATCTCAAGGATTTCAACTGAAAATGATTCGCGATTTTCTTTAGATCGGAAGGTGCTATATAAACATCGTTAGTTATAGTTACAAGCGTACTTAAGGCGAATACAGCATGTTCAGAGCGAAATAAGAGGTACAGACTTATTGATGGCAGTACAAGGCACTCTATCATCATTTTTCTTCGCAGATATTTTCTGCGCTGTGATATATCATGCTGAAATACTGAATCGATAGGTCTGACGCGAAACACGTTGTGTAGGCGGTAAACGGTCTTTGAGGTGGGGCAGACTTACTTGGTGTAGGTCCAGGTCTATTGCCACAGTTGACGTTTTGTTCGAAGTCGCAGTAGCCGAGCTTCTCGTTGAATAGGAGATTATTTGGGCACTGTTGTTCGATTACAGTTTCGTCCCAACAGTTTAGATAGATCGAGCAGCTTTTGGGGCTTGGGAATTGGCCGCGAGCTGCGGGACATCCGGGCGCGGGGATGGGGCGTTGGGGACGGTCTGGGCGGCCGGGTTGTCCTGGAATTCCTGGCTGTCCGGGTTGCCCGGGAATTCCTGGCTGTTGGCCGCCCTGGCCAGGTTGCCCGGGCTGTCCAGGCTGTTGCCATCCTTGTCCTGGCTGGCCGGGTTGACCTGGTTGGCCAGGAATGCCTGGCTGTTGTCCGGATTGGCCTGGTTGCCCTGGCTGTCCCGGTTGCCCTGGAATTCCTGGCTGCTGCCCAGGAATTCCCGGCTGTCCAGGTTGTCCGGGAAATCCTGGCTGCTGTCCAGGTTGCCCAGGTTGTCCCGGAAATCCTGGCTGCTGTCCAGGTTGCTCAGGAATTCCTGGCTGTCCAGGTTGCCCGGGAAATCCTGGCTGTCCAGGAAATCCTGGCTGCTGTCCACCTTGGCCTGGTAGCGGAGGTTGTCCAGGAATTCCTGGCTGTCCAGGAAATCCTGGCTGCTGTCCACCTTGACCTGGTAACGAAGGTTGCCCAGGAATTCCTGGCTGCCCAGGCTGTCCAGGAAATCCTGGCTGCTGTCCACCTTGACCTGGTAACGAAGGTTGCCCAGGAATTCCTGGCTGCCCAGGCTGTCCAGGAAATCCTGGCTGCTGTCCACCTTGACCTGGTAACGAAGGTTGCCCAGGAAATCCTGGCTGTCCAGGGAATCCTGGCTGCTGTCCACCTTGGCCTGGTAACGGAGGTTGTCCAGGAATTCCTGGCTGTCCAGGAAATCCTGGCTGCTGTCCACCTTGGCCTGGTAAAGGAGGTTGCCCAGGAATTCCTGGCTGTCCAGGTTGCCCAGGAAATCCTGGCTGTCCAGGCTGTCCAGGAAATCCTGGCTGCTGTCCACCTTGGCCTGGTAACGGAGGTTGTCCAGGAATTCCTGGCTGTCCAGGAAATCCTGGCTGCTGTCCACCTTGACCTGGTAACGGAGGTTGTCCAGGAATTCCTGGCTGTCCAGGAAATCCTGGCTGCTGTCCACCTTGACCTGGTAACGGAGGTTGTCCAGGAATTCCTGGCTGTCCAGGAAATCCTGGCTGCTGTCCACCTTGACCTGGTAACGGAGGTTGTCCAGGAATTCCTGGCTGTCCAGGAAATCCTGGCTGCTGTCCACCTTGACCTGGTAACGGAGGTTGTCCAGGAATTCCTGGCTGTCCAGGAAATCCTGGCTGCTGTCCACCTTGACCTGGTAACGGAGGTTGTCCAGGAATTCCTGGCTGTCCAGGAAATCCTGGCTGCTGTCCACCTTGACCTGGTAACGGAGGTTGTCCAGGAATTCCTGGCTGTCCAGGAAATCCTGGCTGCTGTCCACCTTGACCTGGTAACGGAGGTTGTCCAGGAATTCCTGGCTGTCCAGGAAATCCTGGCTGCTGTCCACCTTGACCTGGTAACGGAGGTTGTCCAGGAATTCCTGGCTGTCCAGGAAATCCTGGCTGCTGTCCACCTTGACCTGGTAACGGAGGTTGTCCAGGAATTCCTGGCTGTCCAGGAAATCCTGGCTGCTGTCCACCTTGACCTGGTAACGGAGGTTGTCCAGGAATTCCTGGCTGTCCAGGAAATCCTGGCTGCTGTCCACCTTGACCTGGTAACGGAGGTTGTCCAGGAATTCCTGGCTGTCCAGGAAATCCTGGCTGCTGTCCACCTTGACCTGGTAACGGAGGTTGTCCAGGAATTCCTGGCTGTCCAGGAAATCCTGGCTGCTGTCCACCTTGACCTGGTAACGGAGGTTGTCCAGGAATTCCTGGCTGTCCAGGAAATCCTGGCTGCTGTCCACCTTGACCTGGTAACGGAGGTTGTCCAGGAATTCCTGGCTGTCCAGGAAATCCTGGCTGCTGTCCACCTTGACCTGGTAACGGAGGTTGTCCAGGAATTCCTGGCTGTCCAGGAAATCCTGGCTGCTGTCCACCTTGACCTGGTAACGGAGGTTGTCCAGGAATTCCTGGCTGTCCAGGAAATCCTGGCTGCTGTCCACCTTGACCTGGTAACGGAGGTTGTCCAGGAATTCCTGGCTGTCCAGGAAATCCTGGCTGCTGTCCACCTTGACCTGGTAACGGAGGTTGTCCAGGAATTCCTGGCTGTCCAGGAAATCCTGGCTGCTGTCCACCTTGACCTGGTAACGGAGGTTGTCCAGGAATTCCTGGCTGTCCAGGAAATCCTGGCTGCTGTCCACCTTGACCTGGTAACGGAGGTTGTCCAGGAATTCCTGGCTGTCCAGGAAATCCTGGCTGCTGTCCACCTTGACCTGGTAACGGAGGTTGTCCAGGAATTCCTGGCTGTCCAGGAAATCCTGGCTGCTGTCCACCTTGACCTGGTAACGGAGGTTGTCCAGGAATTCCTGGCTGTCCAGGAAATCCTGGCTGCTGTCCACCTTGACCTGGTAACGGAGGTTGTCCAGGAATTCCTGGCTGTCCAGGAAATCCTGGCTGCTGTCCACCTTGACCTGGTAACGGAGGTTGTCCAGGAATTCCTGGCTGTCCAGGAAATCCTGGCTGCTGTCCACCTTGGCCTGGTAACGGAGGTTGTCCAGGAATTCCTGGCTGCCCAGGCTGTCCCGGTTGTTGCCATCCCTGTCCTGGCAATCCAGGTTGCCCAGGTTGCCCGGGAATTCCTGGCTGTCCACCCTGTCCAGGCTGTCCAGGCTGATTAGGATTCGATGGAAACTGCGGTGGAATAGGCTGTGGGAATTCACCGTCACCACCCGGAAATCCCGGATACTGTCGCGCCGCATTCGGTCCAAACGACTCCGTCGGCGGAACTGCCTCCACTGGACTCGTCAGTGCAACACTATCTGTCTCTAAATCGGTCTGCCATGACTCAGTCCGTGGGTCCAGTTTCTGAATGTCCGCTCGATCCCACGTATTTTCGGTCACTGACGCTGGTCATGCAATTTAAAAAAACAAATGAAAAATTCTCGAATTTCTTGAGAAGAAATTTTCTGATTAAACTAATTGAATCGTTGGAGATTGTATTATTGACATCTGATCTACTGGCAATTTATCCTTGATGCATTATATCCGCTGATAAATTATTGGCTAACGAGGCTTCCCGATAACCCTCTCTCCTTTCGATTCCAATCAAACTCACTATTTAATAATGATCCCCATTTATATTATCACCTCTAGCCACATTACCCCACACGAAATTTGCTTTCCTCAGCGTTAAGACTTGTGATTTATATACTCAGTACCAGTATTTGTGGGCTCATCAGGCCCAAATGCAAATTATTGAACGCTTGGAATTTTTCATTATGTATCATTTGTAATTATGTGTTAATTCAAATTTCAGCGAATGGTTATAACGTATATTTATTAATTAATGCAAATGGCGGGCTTCTAGGAATCGAAGGAATTTATTTGCCGAAGACGCGGAAGCATTGCAATTGTATGTAAAATATGAGTTATCGAATTAAAATTGCGAATTAAAAAAATTGCGGATTATTGCGAATCTATCACTCGATTAGATTCGGAATCCTAATTTTTTTCTCAATTTAATTTTCGATTTGGTTTTTCGAAGAAGAAATGTTTAAAAATCTGGATTTAACCCAGTGTCTTAAAAAAAACTGTGAAAATCAACATTTCCATTTTAATCAAGAAATTTTTTGACACCTCATAAAAATGATCCACGAAATTTAATTTAGACAATTCCGGCTAGGTATGAATTTTTCTAATTCTTCCCATGCAATTTAGTTGAAAAATTCAAAAACTAAATATATCTAAAAGTGCAGCGCAACCCGGCCGAAGTGTAAAGCTACTTTAATATTGCTCCAGAAGGGGATGAAATTGGAACGAAACAACCGGAAAATTTGACGTTGGATATTTCGGGAAAATTGCCAATGGATAAATTGTCGCGGAAATTTCGTTGGGATAAAATGTCAGCGGAACCAAATCATTTGATTAAACTCACTCTCAGGTTGATTAGAAAAGGGTAGCTGGCGCCCCCCATACCGCACTCTTCCTCTTCCTCTTCCCCTTCCTGTTCTAGCGGCTTCCAAGCCCACGACTAATGCCACCAATAATATTAGAATCTTCATTCTTCCGAACGAAACTCAGTCGAAGGTGTGAATAAACTCGTTTAAATATCACGATAATTCCAACCGTCAAAGGGAAAATTTCGCGAATGACTACGCTCGACCTTGGCTCGTCTCTTGATGCTGGATGGGCTGGACCCCGTTCGTCCGAGGGCTTACATAGGGCAGCCCCCACCACATTGGCAAACAGGGGAATCCGCAGGACCCCAATTACACGGGACTCTGAAACTTTGCTCATCCTTGGATGCGCAGGAAGTGCACTCTGACGTCCTCCCTCCTCCCGCCCCCCCCGATCGGCAGAAAAAAAATTATTCCCCCCAGTGGAGAATGAACCAATGAAAATAACACGTGGACTTGAAATTGTGCTAAGCGCATTCAAGAGGTTTTCAATACTCTCCCGCAATTAAAAAAACGCTTTTTTACACATAAAGTGCAACTACATTCTTTCTTTCTTTTTTTTATTTTTTTTTATTCATTAAATACTTCTTTTTTTTTGAGCGCATAAAATTTGTGATAAATACAATGTGCTGAATGGAGCGAAAAACTGAAAAAATACGATAATGGAAACAAAAAATAAAATACAAATCGAGAGTCACTGAGTGACCAATGTTTATTATAGACATATATAGAACGTTATTTTTTTTGCACCTGTTTTTATGTAAATTCATGTAAATATTTGTGTTCTGTCGCAGAATTTTTTTTTATTTCGAATTATCAATTTTTACTCGAAAAAGGTTCAATTCATCAGTCCCGGGAATTAACTATTTAAAATTTTTGTAGAATTTTATTTCCCCACGCGTAAATCGTTTTATTTCGGATGTTCGTCGAAATATTTATAATCTCTCGTCTCTCGTCACTAATGATCGAATTTTCCCGTCGTTTATTGCTTTAGTACATTTGGAATCGTTTCCCAAATAAAATGTCGAAATATTCTCTCTAGTAAATATTTTATTTATTAAGTCGTTTTATTGCGGATGTTCGGCGAAATATTTATAATCTCTCGTCTCTCGTCACTAATGATCGAATTTTCCCGTCGTTTATTGCTTTAGTACATTTGGAATCGTTTCCCAAATAAAATGTCGAAATATTCTCTCTAGTAAATATTTTATTTATTAAGTCGTTTTATTGCGGATGTTCGGCGAAATATTTATAATCTCTCGTCTCTCGTCACTAATGATCGAATTTTCCCGTCGTTTATTGCTTTAGTACATTTGGAATCGTTTCCCAAATAAAATGTCGAAATATTCTCTCTAGTAAATATTTTACTACGGCAAATATTTGTAAATATCTTAGTAAACTTGAATAAAAACATGGTTAAACAAAAAAAAAGTTCTGAATACTCTGACCCCCGATCGTTCCTGGAAGCCAACCGTACCGTGATAAAAGTGAATTGGGGAGAATAAAACCGAAAAATTTATTCTCATTGGTTACTGGGATGCTCGTGGCG